ATATCCGCTCAACGGTTAATTGTTCATGTTTGTTACAGAAATTTAAATTGCAAAAGGGTTCAAGTCATGTGCCCTCATATCGCACACGGTCTTCAAAAGTGTATTAACTCGAAATTGCACATTTGTTAACAAAATCGAAAAGCCATTTGTAATCGCGTCTCTATCTCTGGCTGTCTGAAAAGTTTTAAGTCCAAAAATTGATAAATAAAGACGTGACACTTTGAATTTAGGTGATGGATGGAGTGGTATTAAAAAAACGACCATCGATTTTTATAGGTGCTCACGTCTAGATATGGGTGAAAGTTTGAACCCAATCGGGACATGCTTTCTCGTGCCGAAAGTACCCTCAAGTTTAAAAAAATTAAAATTGTTCGAGAAAATGTGATATTTTCTGCTTTAGCTTACGACTGATTCTATAGTATAAATCTATAAATTTACCATCAGATGAAGAATTTAGATTTTTGACCTTTGACCTTTCATTTTTAATACTTATTTTAAGTGTCATACCAAAGAAACTTAATACACAAACATTTGTTTAGCACAGTTTATATTTAAAACCGACCACGGTACAGTATTGCGAATTTGTGGAGAGCCGTAAGCATTTGGTAATGGGACAGAAAAAGAAAAGAGCTAATTGACTAACTGACTGTGTTTATCTGCACCTCTATCATCTATAGAAAGCAACCCATTGGAAGTGTGGGAGGATTCAAATCAATGTTTCCACAGTTATATAAGAAAGCTCGCATATTTTTGGTAATTCTTGCATCGTCAGTTCCTTCCACAATAATACAAGACCGAAACCGTCTCTCCAGCAAGCACATTGAACAACTTTTGTTTTAAGGCAACGTGCCACAAAATGTTATTTTTTAATTAATATTTACATAAATGGTTTTTGTTTTCATGTAAATATATAAACTAATTTAAGAAATAAACAAGAGGTTTAAGCTCCTTAACTTGTACCAGAATAAAAAATTTGAGTTTTTAAAGATGAGTGCTTTTAATATTACTTTAGTATAATAAAATAAAATTGGTGTAAAGATACTAGAAACTGAGTAAGTATCGATGCTTTCCATCTGATACTTAATCGAGTAGCAATACTTTCTGGTGATACTCGAAGCGAGTGAAGTTATCGATACTTTAGGGGTATAGTTTGATCCATAAGTAACAGTGATTTGCAAAACAAAGCTGTCCATAAGTAGAATGGAATAAAAACCCGTAGAACAAATAGGCTAAGGCGTAGCAAGGTAGCAAGGAAAGTGCCAACGCTGCCGCTAAAGAAACGTAGCTGCTGCCGCAGTGCCACGTAAAAACAGATGACGCAACGCGCTAAAAAAAAACGGAATGTGCAACGATGTATATAACATATAAACCTTGTTCAAGAACCACTTTGACTGGCCCAGAGAACTTTAAATGGCTTTGACTAGTGACGTTGGGCCCAACGATATCTTCGACAAGGCCCCTCGCTGCTGTATGCTCTTTTTAATACGATGCTGGAGAACGATATTCAAGCGGCTCGCCTGAATCGAATCGACACCGTATTATCTTCTTTAAAACCCCATATCTTGACCCAGAATCACTTTTTAAACCATCAGTGAGTAATCGACAATGTGTGAGTCCGGGCTCGGTGCTGAAATTAACCCACCATTCAGCCCCAGGGAACTCAACATTATAGAAACTATCCAACAAAGTTAAGGTGGCGTACTATCCCGTGGCATTGAAAAGACACAAGTGCTCAAATCTCTGCTGCCAGACATTTCACGTCACCCCACTCTGTGTTGAACCAACACCCGTTTCTTTTTAGTCTGCAGGTGGTCTTTAAGGCTTCCCCACGTATGAAGACACAAAGTGGCGGTTAGTGCAGCAGTGCCTCGAGAGCAGCGCCAGGTGTTGTAGAGAAAGCTCCCGTATAGCAAACGGCAATAGTTCGTTAAAATGTAGCAAGCAGATTTCCCACGCTATTGATTTAGAGTCTAACCACTGACGCATAGCTTATTATGGATCTGATCATAGATGTACAGACCCCACGTTTTGTCAAAGACCTGCTCTTCTTCTTCTTGTTATTTTGCGCTGTAACCACCTAAGCGATTTTGGCTGAGTTCAACAACGTTTCTCTTCTGTGCCAGCTGACGTTAACTGGAAATGCCAAGTCCTTCTCCACTTGGTCTTTTCAACGCAGTAGGGGCCTCTCTCTTCCTCTTCTACCGCTAGCGGGTTCCAAATTGAATACTTACAGAGCTGGAGCATCGGAGTCCATTCGAAAGATATAGCCTACCCAGCGGAGCCGCTGTATTTTAATTCGTGGCACTATATACATGTCGTTGTAAAGCTCATACAGCTTATCATTCCATCGTCTGCGGTAGGCTTGTAAATCTTCCGCAAAATATTTCTTTCAAGTACTCCAAGAGCCACCTCATCGGATGTTGTCCATGCTTCTACGCCATATACCAGCGCGGGCATGATGAGTGACTTATAGAGTGTGGTTTTGTGAGAAGACTTTACTCCTTAATTTCCTACTCAGTCCAAAGTAGCATTTGTTGGCAAGAGTGATTCTGCGTTGAATTTTGATGCTGACCTTATAAGCAGTGTTGCCGTAACATATTTTTATTTCTGACCGAAATCACCAGAAAAACAAAAAATTACCAAACTTGGTTTATTTGCAGAATTGTACATAGATATGTCTGTACATATGTATATCCGAAGGTACCAAGCTTTTCCGGTAACCAGCGTTCCATTCATCTATAATTTTTACATCTGCGTGAAGGTTAAGTCACAACAGCTTGGTGAGGATTTAAAACCTAAATGAGACATTTTTGTTTTCATATCGGACACCAAATTTGGTGTCACACTTTCAATTGGCTTCAAATTTTTTTATGCGTTCTATACATGGTGTAATGAACTGAAGGTGGCGCATTCCCGAAACCGCTACTTTGGTTTCGCCGACTTTGACGTTTATGGCAATACGTAAACAAACCTTTTGTTTAGAAACAAGTGCAAACGTATTGTGTACTTTCAAGTGAAAAATCGAAGTAATTCGTGCGTTCTAAAGTAAAAAACGTTTTATCCTTATCCTTACTAATATTATAAATCCAAAAGTGAGTTTGTTTGTTTGCTTCGCTTTCACGCCTTAACTACTCAACCGATCATCATGAAATTTTGTATACTGCTGTCATTTAGCCCAAACGGAATTTTTCATACTGCATTTCTCAGGAAATATTTTTGATAGATTACTGGAACTTGGTACTGAGATATATAAAATCATTATCCACTCATGGATGAGGGCTGAATATATTTTGAAAAGGGTTGCCACCTGTTTGAAAAGTCAAATTTAAATTGGTTATACGCAACCTATTTCACTCACCAACACACAGACAGAAGAATTATATATGAACTTTTTTGCGGCGCCATGCCCCCTTTTCAAATAGCCCATTTTTCTCCATGAGTATACGATTGATTTCATATATTGCCGTACCAAGTTCCAGTATTCCACCATGAACACTTCCAGAGATATGCAGTATGAAAAAATCGGTTTGTATGGGAAGTACCACGCCCCTTGATATATCAAAATTTTTTTTAGCCTAGCATTCTTGGGACGTCTGACGCAGGTGTCCGAAATTTCAAAAAAAAAATCGTTCTCGAGCTTTGCGAACACATAAAGAACGGCTTTCAAAATATATATTGTTTTAGAAGATTGGTACGAACTAAATGGTTTTGAATGTTAATCACAATATGAGTGTCAGACGAAAGAGGTTTAAAAAGGTTGCCAACTGTTTAAAAATTTTAATTCAAACTATTCAATAATTTAAATGAATTATTAAAATATGGGTGCCAATTGAAATGGTCTTGAAAGGGCTTAATTTCAAAACTACTTCTAAGAGGTTTCCATCTGTTTAAAATCTCAAATTGAGTTCAGGGGATAAGTTAATTGAAAAAGTATGACAAGTGAGAAGTTTAGGAATGCTTTAGTTTGAAAATTTTTTGAAGATGGTTAAACAAATTTTAAACCTCCTCTATTTTAATTGAGTTTTCTTGAAATAACCTTTACTCAATGCATCACGTAGAAATTTCATGCACTCAGCGAGGGCGATCTAGTTTGTAATAAAAACTTTATAAAAATGTCGAGTCGTGTGTTGAATTGCAGCAGCCGTAGGGGCAAAGCCCCCAAATCCTGTTTTTTTTTTGTTTCCCCGCGACGACGCCTTGGCCAGAAAGTGGGTAGAGTTCAGCCGGCAGGAGAAGCCATACCATTTAGTCACCAGCGTAATATGCATGAAGCACTTTACGGATAAGGATTTCATGAGTAAATATCATTTACTTTCATTACTTATATATGTCGATATCTAATAAGAGTCTTAGGAATTGCTAGTCGACAATCGCTTCGCCGCGACGCCGTGCCAATCATTTTTGAGTGGGAAATAGATCCTGCTGCGGTATGTGAGTCACAAAATGACAGCGTTGAGGAGGTCATTGAGCTACAAAATTGCAAAGGTAGCAAATATTATACAATAAATATTATATTATTAATGTCAGTGGTTTATTAGTTGGTTTAAATGAAGGCGATAAAGAATATCGGCCCAGGGACGGTACTGTTGATGCTTCGACGTCACCTATCCGTAACTGTGTATACTATGATAGTGATCTTCAGGAAGTGGAACTGTTGAAAGTTTTAAAAAATCATCAAGCGTCTTTTATACAAATATAAATTTATTTATTTGGAGGCAAGTAATATGATTTAGCCAAAGGCCCTTTTCAGGGCCGCCAATTAATTAACAAAGAGATTAAAATTTTATGTTTAGATAAATACATACATACCAACCAACAAGAGGCCCTTTTCAGGGCCGCAATTAAGTTGACAAAGAGATTGAAATTTTATGGTTAGATACATACATATAAGCCAATCAACAAGAGGCCATTTTCAGGGCCGCAACTAAGTTGACAAAGAGATTAAAATTGTATATCCTATATATATTTATGTTCTTAACGTATATATGTATGCATGTATCTTTTTAATAATTATCATTTAAATTGTATAATTTTTTTACTTAGATTTAATAGCAATTACTTATTTTTACACATCATTTTGCTTCCTTATAGTTAAACTTAACTAAGTGAATAAATGAAAATATAATAATACATATTTTATTCTTCAACGTTTTCACCACTGCAAAATAAATACTATAGTAGTAAAAATTTCAAATCGAATGTATATTAAAACTATACCTCATCGCACTAGCTTCCGAAAACAGAGAAGAAAAATAACTATGACGTACTGAGCTCTGGTTGTTGATGCAAGACTATTTTGCTGAGACTGACGCATACACACCAGTCGCGTATACCCTCCATCCAGGGGTACCAGATTTTTGTGTGATGATCTGTTATAATTTTCAAATACCCCTTCCGGACAGCTTCAGTGGCATCGGCAGCCAGTTGATCACATTTCACATACCTGCAAAATGATTGAAAAGCAACAGTTATAATATTTATTCGCAAAGTAATTTACGAAACATACCATTGTGGCTTAATCATGGGTTCAACTACATCCTTGGAACGACTGTAGAAGTGCACGACCATAGGATTATTGACGGTCTCGCGATACAAGCCCAGTTCTTTTAGTTTTTCTAGTATGCGTTTACGGCAATCAAAACGTTTCATGCCCTTAAACTCGCCGTAGTCACCGATGATATAACCATTGTCATTGAATATAGTGATGATGGGCGGTTTTGAAGTAAACATTCATTTATATCCTGGCATCCTACTGGTTCATTTCCCATAATCCAGCCATCTTTGCAGTTACGACAAGCTGGAGGATGAATGGAAAAAAGAAAACGGCATATTTTTAATATGTTGGATATAAAAATAAAATAATTGTAATAACTGCATGAATGCAAACCATCAGTTTACTTTATTTCAGTTTCAGCAATGAACATAACCTTCACTCAGTTGTTGTAACAGCTTAAAAATGATTGAAATAATTTTGGGGAATGTTGCTGAAGCGACAACCCTTGGATAGATATACTACCTTTACGAGTGCCAGAACCCTTACATTTTCCTGTGATGAAGAAAAATACGTAAAATTAAATTAGGAATAGTGCTCGGTTTCCAACCACGAAACTTTATTAGCCTGCTCCTGGAGTACGGGAGGTTTTGCAGGTTTTACAGGAAGTTGTTCCCGTGCGCCACATTCACATAAGGTTTATTAAAGGCGAAAACAGCTTCTCCTGTAAAACCCGCAAATCCAGAAGTAGGGCAACAGGCTATATATGTTTGTGGAAGGTTTTAAGTCAAATTCTTAGCGGCTTTAACATGCATGCTCGCATGCTTGCCGCGACTTATTTTTTCCAAACCCTGTAAGCAAAGTTTTTATTAATACGACACAAGTTTGTTATTACTGCCACCCACTCACCAACTTAAATGATTCCACAAGCACAGTGCATGATCTACAAGGCGGCAACTTAGTTGATTTTTCCTTTTGGTCGTTTGGAGATTTGTCAAAAGCTTCCACAGCTTCACAGTTCTCAAACAGCAACACCAGCCCACATACAATTGAAAGCACCACTTTTAAACACGACATGTTAATTTGAAAACATTGAAATACTAGAAATTACAAATTAAAATCGGAGGTAAGCAAGCATCGACCACTTTCTGCAGGAAAACATGCGCTGCGCTAAGATATTATCACTTTTTCGGGACCTGCAATACAAACACAAAATTAATTAATTAATTAATAAGACCTATTCTTTTGAACACATTTCAAGAGTGGTTGTATATTTTTTGTTAACGTTTTGCTTAATTTGCTATATTCAAAGATGGCTTGAGAAATTGGTGAATTTTGAAGAAAACACGTTTTCTCACTGCAAATTCACAACTGCCAACTCATTGTTCTTCACCATATTCTTTGTTTACCCGTTGCCACAAATGTCATTCTGCGGGAATGCGCAAACTTGTATTCTATCGTTCTTGGGTTATATACATGAAATAAGCTAACACGTGTTCGAGGAATTTCTTTTTCGCTTTTTTCTTTGGAGATGTGATCTGTCAAAATTTGCATTTCTTCGTGATTCTGACTATTCGTTATATCTGGGGTTCTGCCCATCGTAGAGACTTCATCTTAACGTCGTTTTAAAGCTAAAGAAATGGACTTAATATATACATATACATATCTATATATAAGATGGTCAAGATTGTCCTTAAGCTAACTTAGCTATTAACAGTTGAACTTTTTGAAGTTGATTTGTATAGTGAACACCAGTAAATTAGGGATTTAACATTATACCATCGTAATCCTTGTTTAATTCCCTATACAAAACGTGGTTAAAAAAATTAGGGTTTTTCAAGAACTTTTTTTTAAATATTTTTCTTTATAAAGAGATGGTTTATTTTGTGAGATTCAAAAATTTTTTGTAATTTGTTTTCCAATCTGCGTTTTGCTAATTTTAGTCCTGCAATTACCATGCCCATTTCTAGGGGTTTGTCACCTTAAATAAAAATCTTGCCATACAAATATTATACCTGGATAGGTATTCTATCAGAATCTGCAACAAAATTTAAATTATTGCAAAAACTCGATGTTTAACACCTTACTAAATATATCTCAATATAAGGTTTGGAAAACAAATTACAAAAAGTTGTTGATTCTCACAAAATAAACCATATCTTCATAAAGAAAAATTTTTTAAAAATAGTTTTTGAAAAACCCCAATTTTTTTAACCCCATTTTGTATAGATAAATAATTTTGTGTAGATAATTAAACAAGGATTACGATGGTCTAATTTTAAATCCCTAATTTACTGGTCTTCACTATGCAAATCAACTTCAAAAAGTCCTACTGTTAATAGCTAAGTTAGCTTTAAGACAATCTTAAGCACCTTATATATAGAAATGTTCAGCTCGTTTCTTAGCTTTAAAATGACGTTAAAGTGAAGAGTCTACGATCAGCAGAACCCGAGATATAACGATTTGAAGAAGTATATGATTGGTCAGAATCACGAAAAATCCAAATTTTGACAGATATTATCTCCGAAGGAAAATAAGTAGAAACAAATTCCTCGAACACGTGTTAGCTTATTTCATGTATAGAACCCACAGAAAAAAAGCGAATCGGAGATATGACATAATTTTTTTACGAAATCCGTCCGACTTAAAAAAGAATGGCTCAAATGTGGCCGAAGAATTAGTGGATTGTGCGTTTTTTAAGAACATGGTACTGTCTTATGGTTCATAGCGGTATATTTTGCATTTGGATATACATCTTGTGAGCCGAAAGCTTTCAGGAAATTATTTGCCTAATAATCCTCTGTTGCAATGAACCGTATCCATGACACTGTGAATAATCAGATATCTTCAGTTGCTTTGTGGCCTGAGCTTTGTATGGATAGCATAGACAAAGTGAAGTCCCCTACTGAATGCCGTAGCTTGTTGAACGTACATTTTTACATAGAATTCTATTCATATGGTTTCCGGGTTACGCCGGAATATTTATGACAATTGCAAACCTGACGAACTGACAAGGAACGGTGGGACCATCCACAACCTTCTGGAAAAGGACACGCTAGACATAGCAAAAACCATTTTTCTTTTAAGATCACATAATTTTGGTAACCAAGGAATGCTGCAGAACTTTTCGCATTGTGAAATTTTCATGCTCTTTATCAAATTGGTAACTTTTTCAATTCGGGATTACATGTAAAATAGGTCTAAACGAGTTCTGATTCAACATTTGCCGTAATCGTTTCCTTTAATAGAAATACCAGGTAGTCCTGAAAGTTCTTCGGCGTTCCTTGGTTACTAGAATTGTGTGATAACTGACAGACTACTTCAAAGTGGTTTTTGCTATATCTAGCGTTTCCGTCTCCAGAAGGTTGTGGGTGGTCCTACCGTACCTTGTCAGTTCGTCAGCTTTGCGATTGCTCGTTTCGTTGAGACATCTCAAGGTTTACTGGAGTTATGGTCTGATTATGCACACTTCGTATAAATTTCAAACTGTCAGGTGAAAATCTGTTGAATGCATTTTGTATGTGTTCCATTACCCAGAAATTAGTAGAACTTGTAAAAATTAGCGATATGTTGCGTTTAGATTTTGCCTAACTTTTTCTTAACTGATATTTCAATTGCAGTGGTACCCATAGCAATATTTTTACAGATACCACGTTTATATGATGCTTCAATTCGTTCTAAGTCAAACCATGTTATATGGTCATACACATGTAAACACATTCTCTAATCGAATTGAAACTTTTAACCGTGCCACCATAAATCACATTTTGAATGCGAGTTAAGAGTTGTTGAGTCATGTTAAGAGTGCATATAAACACGGTTGTTTCATGCAACTCTGTATAAAGTAAACCGTTTAAATAGTTCTTGAAATTACATTTATGCTAAGCTTTATTATAAATTTAATAGCTAAGATAATTTTTACAAGGCTGTCTGAGTCTTTAATTATTATTTTTCTATTTTCATTATTTTCAAGAATTGACACATGTATTAACAGGGTTACATCGGGATAAACTCTGTATGAAAGTGTGTTCGATCGCCTCATTTCTTGTGTTGCATATAAACACTTGCATTTCAAGCGAGCTGCGCTGACACGAGTTAATTCGATACCGCGTTTGATGCCATATAAACAAGATAAGAGATGCATGGAAAGCAAATTAGGGGAATTCACGACTCTATTAATGTAGGTGCTAGGGAGGGTAAACGTGGAATTTAAAAAAATTTCAAAAGCTTATATTGAAATGTTTTGAACCAATTTTCAATGTATGGATATGGTTGGAAAGGTAATTAAAAGTCTTTCGATTTAATATTAAAATAAAAATTATTTTGTTATTTTATGGCCTTATAACAATTATATTCAACAATTTTTATTGAGCTTGAGGCCGTTTTTAATGAAAAACTTATTGTGGAAAAGCAACAATAATGTGAAAAATAACCACATTTCCTCATCAGACTTCTTTCAGTAGGATTCGAACCGACGATCCCACTGACTCAGCCAGTTGCCTATGCACTGTACTAAGTTCGACTTGTCAATTATTCTTGCTTTTTCCACTTCTTGTTAAGCCAACACAATAAAGCACAGCTATTCCGCTGCAATTCACTTGATCATGTGGTTGTTGGTTTTGTTGGTTTTTGCTGTTTGTTGGATCTCATTCGAAAGGTCTAAACTCGGTTTATAGTCAACTGAGTTACAAGCTTATAAGTGCGGAATACCGGTCTTTTAACGGTAAATCAAGATTGTGTGGGTGAGTGACAAAAATTTCGTATCGCGATTCTTACTTCACTCGGCATAACCTACCTGAAAAATAACATGACCTACCAGGTATTTTTACTTTATTATTTTTTGTAGCATTGGGTTATAGAGCACACAAATTTGTACATTCTCTTTTTAATTTAAAAACGTATTAAATTTAATAAAATAACACTCAAGAGAAAAAACATATAAAAATATAACGAATAATCAAAAATAATTACCTACATACAAACATCATTTTTTAGTATTTGTTATTATATCTGATTTCTTCTTATAATGGTAAATGAGATGATTATTTACTAATTTTTTCTATGTACATTGATTACTATTTAGGTTAGGTAGGTAGGTTTAAGTACAACAAACAATGGATGGATGGAGGAAAACTGGTGCTGCCACTCTATTAATACAATTTGTATTTCAACTTTAAAAACACCCAAATAATGCACAAGAAATATACTTTTGTGAAAAGGGGATTTCTGTTCCTTTTCTTCGCACGCAAAAAGGAGAATTCTACGTAGTGAGGGTTATAATCCCTAAGCGCGGCCGAAGACCGCCTACGCAAAAAGGTGTTTTCTGAAAAATGTGTTCTGCCCCTTTTCTTTGGCAACACAGAAAGGAGAATTCTACGTTGTGAGGGTTATAACCCCTAAGCGCGGTCGAAGGCCGTCTACGCAGAAAGGTATTCAGCCCCTTTTATTTAGCAACACAGAAAGAAGAATTCTACGTAGTGAGGGTTATAATCCCTAAGCGCGGCGGAAGGCCGCCTACGCAGAAAGGAATTCTACGCAAAAATACTGTGGATAGCGTAGCCTGATTAATTATCCATTTAATTCTACAACTCAATCTTATAACAAATAAGGTTATTAAAAAATGATTTGTATATATTTCTTTAGAATGGCCGACTTCCAAAACGTCAATTGCTTTGCATACGTCCAAAGCATAAGGTTCCATAACGCCGAACAACAAAATATTGACAATTATACTGTTCCAAAACGCAGCCGAAAAGTTATCGAAACGCATCGCTCGAGCAATCAGCGCATCAGAAACAAAGTTGATGCTTCGTATGTTATTGGTTAGCATTGGTGTTTTAGAAATGGAAAATTCAGAAAAATTGTTCATTGCTATATTGGATATTTAAAATATGCAATGTATATGGTTGCAATGTGTCGCAACTCTTCATATACAAACAGTTTGAATAGATCGAAGATCGAAGATCAAAGTAGGGATGGGCACCGTTTTCAAAAAATCGGTTTTTTGATTAATTACGGTTTTTCATTCAGGTTTTAAACCGTTTAAAAAAACTGGATTAAAAACCTGATCTTTTCGGTTTACCGAAAAAAAACCGAATTATAAAAACACTGAAAAAATAAAAAAAGTCGATATCGAATTAATCTTAATTTTCACTTCGCCTATATGTATATTTTCTTCTTTAAAATTTACTTACTGCTGTGCAACGGAAATCAATTAAAACAATATTTTTGCTTTATTTTGTATAACAACTTCATTTCCAAAAAATAAGAAATATAATAAAGCGTTTGGCATATTTAAGCAAAAACAAACTTCATTTCAAAAACAAAAACTTTTTGTAATAAAAACATAAGATAAACACCTACATATGTAATTACACACACGTACACTAAAGTTTGTGAGTCAGGGCATGTGTAGATACATATCAATATAGGTGCTAAGCACAGAGATCTTTTATAAACGGATGCAATTATGTACACGTGTACATGTACGCATTTTAAATATACTAAATCACTGTAATCTTTCAAAAACCTTTAGATTACTTTAAATATTCCAAAATTCGTCGTTAAGTGATCCTAAAAATACGAGGTTATTGGCATGATTGGGAGTAAGGCGGCTTCTCTTGTCCGAGCATACATTATTTAAGGTGGACACAACCCTTTCAGATGCTACTGAAGCGGCGCAAACAGTCAAGTATTTCATTGCGATTGGATAAATCGTAGGAAATACACTTCGGTTACTAGCCCAGAACTTAATAGAGTCCTGATAACGAGGTGAAATTGGCTGACTTAAATAAAATTTTAGTTCCATTGGGAAACTGTTACCGTCGTTAAAACCGATGTTATTTTGAGTCGAAAATTCATCGTGGACATCCCACAAGCTATAGCCCTTAGGTTCGGAGGTGTCAGATCTGCTATGAAGAACTGGAGAAGTATTTCCAACTTTAGCTGTTCGCTGTTCAATTTCCTTTTTAATAAAATCAATTGCATTTGCACAATTTATCGGCGATTGAAAATGGGTTCTCTTAAACCTAGGGTCAAGAACAGTGGCAGTGGCGAGCAGTATATTGCTTTCTAATGGCAGTAGCCGACATTTTACCTGCTGTAGCAGTACATCTTTCAGTTGTATGGTTTCTGTATAAGTGGCACATATTTTCGTCAGTGACAGCTGTAAGCAATGTGTGAATGGTATTACCAAACTAGCCGAAACATAACTGTCCCCTGATATATCGTTTGTTGCATTTTCTAATGGCAATAAAAGTGCAATACATTCGCCAATGATTGCAAGCTCAGACGAAGTAATCATAGATGGTGCCTTTTTTGAGAAAAAATTTGCTAAAATTTTTGCAACATAGCCTGATAATTCCTTAAATCTTTGAAGACAGTGCAAGAATGTACCATCTTTTCTAACGTCTTTTTCTTGCTCTTTCCTCAACTGATCTTGAGCTACATTGCTATGCTTGAAGAATGCCACAATAAGCTTCACTTTTTCTATTATAGCTACCAGCTCTTTAACAGCGCCCAATCCTTTGGAGACCACCAAATTAATATTGTGGGCATAGCAGGACACATGAATGCTATTTGATCTTGAAGGAAAAAGATCCTTAACAGCGGCAACAATGTTTGCACCATTGTCAGTTGTTACTGATGTAACAATGCGGGGTTCAATGTTCCAATGATCAAAGATTTCCTTTAGGTCGAGGCATATGTTTCTTGCAGTATGATGAGGAGTAAGCTCTTTTAAACCAAAAACCAGAGATTTCACGCTGCACGCTTTTTCGTCTGCAAAATTAAAGGAATCTTAAAAGAAACAACCAACGTTAAATTTATTTTGCTTACCAAAATAGTGTCCAGTCAACACAATAAAACTCCGAGTGGAGTTCATGACTGTGGCAATATCAGTTGTAAGGGCCAGTGAACTTAAATTTTTTAAAGCACCACAAACGACTAAGTGTAAGGACTCGTATTTCCCTTTAATAAGTCTCACAATCTATAGGGATACAAATGTTTAAAGTAAATTAATTTTTTATTCCTTCTATAACATTATACATACAGTTGCCCGGCTTGGCGGTTTGTAGCGTGGCACAGCGACCTTAAGGAACTTTTTCATGCCTGTTTTTTTAGTGCAGCTAAATGGAAGGTTGTCCTTACAAATCATATAAATTAAGGATTGTGTCAGAATTGTTTCTTTACTTCCTCCGCCTGTACAAGGTAATTTAAAGTGTTTAACTTGCTTATAGTCCCAAAAAGAAATTAGCTATTTACTTTTGAATTGGTTTTGCTTATCAAAAGCATCAATAATTGATGGTTGACTAGACGTGGAAGATGCAGTGAAGGATGAACTTATTTCAGTTTCGCTGCTGGAAGTTTCTAAATTTTGTACTTCTGGGTCACTGCATTTATTATTGCTGTTGTCCCATCCGGGGTGGTTGCGTTGAAGGTGACCTTTTAAATTCGATGTGCCACCTCCCAATTTCACCAACACGCCGCAAAATTTACAAATTGCTTCTTTGCTAGTTTTTTCTGTGAAATGTAACCACAAAGAACTTCTCTTATTTGTAGGCGCCATACTTGTAATAGTTTTGAATGGCGTTTTGTTCTCAGTGAACAGTAAACTACAATATTCACAATCGACTTCACAATCGATTATGCTTAGCTACCAGATCAGCAAAAAATTGAGTAGTTAATTTGGAGTTTTTGGTACGCCGTAAAATTTTATTCTCATCTCGAAGATTTACAAAATAATTATCCATCGCTGGGAAACGTAAAAACCGAATTTTCGGTTTTCGGTTTTAGAGAAAAAAAAACTATTAACACCTAAATTAAAAAAAGACTGAAAAAGATCATTACCCAAATTCAAAAAAACCGGTTTTTGGAAAAACCGATCTTATTTGAACATCCCTAGATCAAAGATCAAAGATCAAAGAACCAAGATCAAAGATCAAAGATCAAAGATCATAGATAAAGATGAGTAGACTGTTATGATAGACCTATAATTCTCGCAGGAGGTTTCAATGTCAACTTTTCGCTGGCCAAATATGATGAATGACAAAATTTTTCATGGAAGAGATGATCAAACAATCAAAACAGGAAATATTAATAATATTGAAATAAAATATTTCATATCTTACTTTAGTTTCCACAATCCACTAGTTAACATTGTAGATATGAATGTTTTCTCAGCTACAAATAAAAACTAATCTTAGTAGTGGGTAATTAAAGCTCGTTAAAAAATTAAAATAAATATGTATTTTGTACATATATGTAATACTCCTATATTGGCAGTAAGAGCTAGTACCGTCCGAAAACACTACAGTACAGATATATCAATAAACACGTACGAAGGAAAAGGAACACACACGTTTATAAATAAACATGTACACAACACATATACAAAAACGGCACTCAAGTACGCAATACATTGACAAAAACGGTACTAGACTGTCTCGCTTTGATTTCGGAATGCTTACACATTGAGAAGTTAGCTTACTGCCAATATAGAAGTATTACATATATGATTTTGTATATTTGAAAATATGTACATATTTATGTATGTATATCGCACATTTCTTCCTTTCTGGATATTCCTCTATTAAGTTTCAATTCTTCCGCACTTAGGGACTACACGCACTGATTTTGTTTTTAATAAAAACATAGGTTTTTTATTTACATTAAGTATTTGACAGATGATATATTGAAAATTATGTCAAACTGCAAAGAACTTTAGTGTGGACTTAATTTGGACTACAAATATACCCCGTTACGACCACTTAAACGAATCTATTTACCTAAAGAAACTAAAAATCAGCTCGTTTTGTTCATACACCGTGAATAACCCTGTAGCGTCGATGCATAAGGTTGGTACTACTGATTAATTTGGTTGCATGCGAAGCATAATCAGCCTTAAGTTTTGTAAAGTTGTGTTACGTTTAAGTTGCATAATCAGACCTTTATCGTGTACGCTTAATTTTTATTTTCATTATGAGCTTTTGGTATATACATATGTACAAACATACATACATAGCACGTTGGAGAGCATATTCTATCATTGTTGCATATATAGGCTGTTATAAACAACTGCTATGAGTACAAAGTTATAATAACCCTTATGCCCAAGTCCTCTTGTCTATATACATAAATAAAGCGAGAACGAAAATTTTCAACTTTCAATTGTTTTCTGGCACAAAATATAAGTATGTATTAACAAAAATCTACCAATATGAAAATTAAATCGAATTTTTTCTACCAATTTTGCTAATAATTATACCTGGTTATGATGGTAGCTCTATCGACAACTTGAGCCTCCCAGCCATGCCAATGCTGGATTAAAATTGTGGACAGAAATTTCAAGATGCAACACCAGTCAGCAGTCGTTACCATCATTAATGTCGGCGTAGCGATATCATTATCATGTCAAAAATGGAGACCGGACGAAACTTCTCAGAAATGCATTAGTTATGTTACAAATATGGTCTAATAATTCATGCCTCATAATGTAATTACGAAAGCGCTTACAAAAGCGGCACTTGCAACTGCAACCTCCGCTGCTCTTGTGCCACCCCATGAATTCGATTGTTGCTTCTCTAGCTGCCACAAAATAGTACTTGCACACAGAGGCGGATCCAGAGTAAAAGTTTGGAGGGGAACTTTTAGAATAATGTACCTCTTACAACGTGTGTGTTAGTAAATATAAACTTAATTTTTTATGCATTTATGTACTTATGTAAATAAACTTTCACTTTGATACTGAAACTGATGCGGTGGTTGCTCATATTGAAAAATATTTCAATCACTTCTGGCTTTATTTACTTGAATGTCGTCATTTCTATTGAGGAAGGTCAAACCGTTAATCCTTCTTCGTGCATTGTTGTTCTGAGCCAAATTTTGATTCGACGGAAAGAATACCCTTTAGCGATAGTAGAAGTAAACTCCTACTCAAAGAGCCATTTTCTCATCTAACCTTTAGATTACCGGCCACTTTATCGTCTCGACATATAGTTTTCGTTTTCTCATCAGCGCATTAATTTCTCGAGTCGTTAAATTGTTGCTCACCCGATGCAACTTTTAAAAATTTGTACCCAACTTTAAATTTTGGTTTGGTTTTGGTTCATGAGTCAGATATATTAGATATTTTAGCCACGGTTTTGGTTTTGGCTAACAGTTGCTCTTGCTCTATACTTGCTTACGTTGCACTGCCAACCTTTGAAATTTTATGACGAATGTAGTGAAGTTTCACTATCGCAAAATGTAGTGAAGCTTCTCTCCACCATAACAAATTAACAACAAATTTATTTTTACCAGTAAGATAAAAAAACGAAAACACTTTAAAGTGAGGAACAATTTACATATCTGCCCTGTGAGTAAAGACAACTTTACTGCTAGCATTAGAAAATTGCCCTTAGTAAAGTATTAATAGTCGGATATATCTGTGGTCATAAGCAATAATCGCCTAAGTCGAAAAACCTGAATTCAAGTAAAAACGCTTTAAAGATTTGGATTGTAATGTTAACCTTATGGGGAAACCAAAATATTTTCATCTATAGCCTAGGTAAAGAAATGGGAGTTTCACATACACATGGAATAGTAGTTGCAGAAAACGATAGCATATATAACTCATTCTTTCTTAACTCGACTTAGGCGGTTATGGCTTATGACCACAGATATTAACTTTGACACGATATGTAAGAGTCTTAATGACAGATGGCATCTGAGTACCGGACTTAATTTTCAGTTTCCATTGCTGCTACTAAAGCGCTAATTGCACTCCCCGTGCCAATTTTCGTTGCTGTTCATTCCATGCGAGGGTGATTGAAAGGGTTTTTCCAAACCCGTGTTAGCCAATTTTTTCCAAAATTTTTTGCTTGTTTGTTTGTTACAAATATAATCTGATACAAAAGGGATTTTTCCTACTGCATCCCTGTGGGGAAAATCTCTAGTTCTGAACTGGGGCGCTTCTAGTACATTTAGACCCAGTACTGGTTCGCGATAAATCTCTTTTGCATGCAAGCAACTGGCGAATTTAACATGGCGATGTCCTAGGAAGTGTCAATTGCCCCCCGCTGCATCCCTTTTTCTATAGTACCGAACTAGTCCTAAAATCTATAGTTCAGAACCAGTTCTGAAATCGACAGACGAAAGAAAAAATTATTTTTTTTTATTTTTATTTTTATTATTTTTCAATCTTTTTGGTTCTTTCGTGTTTGCGAGTTTAAGTTATTTTGGAAGAAATGTGTTTTCAATTTGAAATTAAATTTGTTTGAATGATTGTAAGAAATGTACGTTTACATACCTTAAGCTGTAGCTGAGTTTGCAGAGGTGCTCGCTGTTATTTCTTAGATTCCAGACGGTCCCAAGATGTTGAAATGTTAACACAAATTTTAGTTTTGTAATACCAAGCTATGAAAAAGCATCTGCGAAGCGCAGAATAGAAGCGTATTTGAACGAAAAAGCCGCCGAACACATATCTATGTAAAGTAAACAGCCCCCCGCTGCATCCCTTATTCGATAGCTCCGAATTAGTTCTAAATTCGACAAATAAGATCTAGCTCGTTCTGCATCCCTTTTTCTATAGTTCCGAACCATTTCTAAATTCGTCACTTTAGATATCGATTTCTAGTGAAAAAACTGAAATAAATTAGTTTTTTTAAAAGTACCACTTTTCTCCGATTTTGGACTGGTGGGGATTTAGTTCATATCGGACTAGTTCGTTTTTGGCGATAAAGACCTAGTACGGAACTAGAAATTTGATTCACTAGTCCGCGGTTTCCCTGCAGGGATATCTCTGCAAGTACTTGTAGTAGAGTACTGGAACTTGGTATGGAGATTTAAAAACTTAATACCAAAATCGTGGGCGTTAGAAAAGCTAAGAATTTAATTTTTTGTGGAAAGTATTTTTTATTTGTTTATAAAATTATGTTTTTCACTTGCGTTTTCGAAGTAGTAGACTCTGTAGCATCAAACACGGTGCGGATTCGATCTGATGAAATCGCACAGGTGTGTGGATGGCTTTAACGCTACACACAGAAATTTCATATACTCAGCGAAGCGGTTGAGGGCAAACTAGTATTATATATTTTTGAAAAATCTCGGTAACCACTTTACCAATTTCTGTCTTTACTTGGCAGGGTTGTTGACCTTGGCCCAGCATTTACCAAAGAATGAGAGTTTGTGAAATTGGACTATAAGCGCGCCCACATTCTATATACCGCTAATTTACACAAATAAGAAATCTGCGATAAATCAGTACTACAAAAGCTAATTTATTCAAAACTTATGCTGCAATAATTACTTGGTGGTATTATACTACTTGCCACGTAAAACGAAGTTGTTGAAAATGGTTTATTTATTTTAAAAATACGTATATATATTTTGAGATTTAAGGTTTCGAAGTTGATACTCACAACAATCTCCTAACAAGGAAGAAGACTAGTATGGATTTTTGGTAAAATGGCGTGGCACCACTTTCTTATGAATACATAAGTTTAGCCCGGTAACTGCTTTACAGATTTCTACCGAACGTGGTCAATTTATTTAATTAAGTCTAACTGAACATATTATCGAAAAATAATG